GTTATTACGACGAAACTCAGTTCAAATGTTGATTTAAAGGCTAACGCATTCACGCACAGTAATAAATCGTTTGCAAAAGTGCATGCACTCACTTAAATGCATTATTTGGCGGTCTGTTGCACTCCTATCATTTCAGGCTGTCTACCTTGATTACAAAATGCTATTCGCACAAAGATTCACCGTGATAGCGGCTAAGTGCGACTGAACTTTTTGGAACTATTAAATGACGGAACCGCATTGCGGGTGACATGCGCCCACGTTTTTTCTACAATTACTACGCAACGCAGTCTTCCATACGATCAGATAATAACGACTGCCACGCTATCTGGAAAGGAAAGCTGCCACATTCACGTTCTGGCGAGCACTTTTCGCTACACACCTGTACTCACCCGGGGGTGGCTCGCCTTTTACCGATGTCGACGATAAAGTCAATTCAGGATTCGCACAGACAGCCAAGAGAGGAGGCAACCTTTGTTATAGTAAAACCCGGCAACTGTAGACCGTTCACGTAGCTCACACACATACACACACGCGCGTGCGTGCGCGCGTACAGCCCGTGCAATCGTCCTGGGTACAGCGAGGGGAGCCTCAACGCCTCAGTCCGAGCAATACGGCGAGAGCGCGGCGGCACGCCAGATCATCGTGATGTCTTATCATGCGAATGCCGCAGAATGGTTTCCACGCACGGCCGGCTCATCTCCGTACGCACGAGGAGTGCTGCTTCCCCCAGCGTTTTGCCACGGCGGTGTCTATGTGCACGCCGCCGCGGGTGCCTGACAGCTTCACAGCCACGTTCCCCACTACCGCAGATCGTCTCACTGGACACTAACGGACGCGGCTGGCTCGCTCGTTGAATAACTTTCACTGTCTCGCAGTCTATCAGACGACTTTCACATCAAGCGTACGCTGTTTTCACGAACGAGAACGTTGTAGGCAAAAAAGACGAGAGCAGAAAGCGGCGATGCATGCAGTGAAGCAAAGCTCACGCGTTCGCGTCTGCGCGTACTCCAAACTCGCACGTACGAGTGAACGCGCGCGCCACACGTCTAGCGCTTACCTGCTTGACATTACTATGTGCCAAGTCAAGTGTGACGAGTGGCGGCGGAGATGAATCCACTCGGTATAACCACCGACACTCTCGCGCGCTATATATTTATATATATAATGTTATTATGACCATTAATGACATTAAAGTTGGGAACACTCCTAATGGAGTATAACCCCGCGCTGGCTCCACTTCGAAATTTCAACGCAATCCCGACGCGTATAACTCATATATACTAACTTCATTACGCTGCATGCATGCCTACGCGCTGACATCACATCCCCCAGCGCCTTCACTCTCACACTCTCACATCGCAGCTCGCTATAAATTCGCATTTACAAACGCTGCTCTAATTCCACCATTACGCCATCAGACGAGATTTTCTCGACGCAATCTAATTGCAGCATTAGCTTGGGGTGAGCAAGGGGGTGAGCAAGGGGGGGGCCGTCGGTCACAGCCAGCAGGTCAGTAAGACAGTAACCAGGCGGTTTAATACACAATGTACCCCCTCCGCCACGACTGCTATCTATCTATCATCAGCATGCAAACATCTTGGCACACTTACCTTGTCATGCAAAGACCTGATGCTACTACTAAACCCGATCCTATACTTATATATATATTCCAAAACTTCATTACATAATACATATATATATATGTATATATATATATATATATATATATATATTATATTATACAGGAGCCGAAGAAGATGCCGACTGATCACTAGATTGAATTATTCACCGTGGGTAGCTTTGCGCGTCTGCTATACCAGCCGCTATCGTTCCACGCAACGTTTCTCTGTCTCGTCTCTATCTCTTCTTCTTCTCTCTCTCTCTCTCTCTCTCTCTCTCTCTCTCTCTCTCTCTCTCTCGCCCTCTGTCCCACTGTTTCTCTCCCCATGTGTGTGTCTGTCTTTTTACGCTCCTCCATACCACCGCGCATGTATCCAACCTGAACTCATCTTACGGCGCCGAGTCGCCACCGTCACTCGGATCGGATTGTCAGTCAGGTCGGATTGCGTCGCTAAGGTCGGATTGCGTCGCTAAGGTCGGATTGCGTCGTTACCTAGGGTCGGATTGCGTCGCTAAGGTCGGATTGTGCCAGCGGAGCCGGATCGTGCTCCTCCGCAAAAGTCCTTCTGCTTCTAACAAAAATTTCTCTTTCGGAAAAGTTGCTGTTGCGTGGCAATGGCCGCAATGACTATCTGTGGGAGTCATTTCGCAAAAATTGCAGCCTTTGCGAACTACGAACAAACCTGAAACACACCTAAGCACGTCCCTCGCTCCCTGCGAGCGCGCGCGCACGCACGCGCGCGTACACACGCACACGCACACGCACACGCACACACACGCACACGCGCACACACACACACACCAGCTACCTGAACCCGCGCGTTTATCTCGGAGCAAGATCGAGAAGCGCATGCAGGCTATATATAAACATTCACACGCAACATCTAATAATGAGATTCGCAATCGATGCCCGTGGGGGCATGCGCGCGCGTGTTCGTGCGTGCGTTCGTACGTGCGTGCGTGTGTGCGTTCGCATGTGCGTGCGTATCTGTGCGCAGCACGTCGGCTTAACAATTGTCCGACGAGAAAATTCTCGGCGGAAAAGCGCTAATTTCCTAAAGAATTGTCAACTAACATCGTCACCGTGGGATACAGTCGCGTGTTTATTATCAGTTGATTTCGCATGTGCACGCGCACAACGAAACTTGCACGCAACACATGACCATAAATACACACCTGGTAGAATCGTTGATCTACAAATGAGTGGACGGCCGCAGAATGAATAGTTCCAGAGCAAATGCTCTCGTCGGTAGTACAACACACTATATTCTGGTTAAAAATAATCACTCCTAAATGTATAGCTACGGTGAAGCAGCAATCTTGGAACCGACCACAGTAACTGTTGTAGATCGTGACACCCTGTTATACAGCTGGGCAGAAGTATTTACACAACACTGAAGATATAATACATGTGTGTCCTCGGTGTTCAACTAATCATGCTCTATATCACGTCACGGCAGAGTGACATGCGACACGGCAGTGAACAGGTGCGACTGGCAACACTTCATGATTGTGTACACCTGGTACTGGGAGTTAGTGGCAGTCGTACTGCCAGGGCTGCGGCGGAGGGTGGATAAACTCATCAACAGCACGCAAAACTAGTCAGGGTCTCCACGAGAACCTGAAAACCTCACAGTCACATGACACTAATTGTCAAACGCAAATATATGAGCTCCCTATGTAAGGTCTTGGGTTTAGACTGCTGCCGCAGTCAACTATGCCTACGTACTTACAACGACAACGTCTTGGGTGAAATTTCGTCTAAAACCACAAAGTTCGCCAACAATTACGCTCGCCGGGTAAGGAACAAGGCCAGGCAAGTTTTCTGTGAAATCCAGACAAGTGATTGGAAGCGGGCTGACACGTTAACAACGGATTTGGTTTTATGAGCTTGAACACTCAGCTTAATTTATGTTTAGCACGCTACAGACGTACGGTAAAAAGACAAGATTTAGAAAGACCTCCTCGTACTCTACGCTACGCTCATAAACACGGACATTTATTCTGACAGTCCAAAGACACATGGTGACTATGAAGATTTGTCGAATGCAACTTCCATTAATCATTCAATTAGCTAATAACTTGCTGTTAGGGTGAAGGTCAAGATAAGATAAAGTTACAAATTCCCGAGTTATTGAATTTTTAAAGATCTATAGATTTCCACTACCGCCTAATCTTTTTATGCGCTGTAACACAGATAATGAATTAGTCTGCTCTAGAGTCCCTCTATATAAAGAAACTCTAGTCTGCTCTAGAGTCCTCTGCTCGTCATTTCAGCTCCACCTAGCGGCAAGTATGGAATGCTTATATCATTTTTAATTTTGTAATGGTGTTGGCACTATATAGAGAAATAGTTTTACTAATGCATGACTTAAAAAATACCAATTAAAGAAATGTTCCGAATTATTTCAAACAAAATCACAGTAGCTGTTTTATATGCAATTATAGTGTTGAATATAAATGTGCTAAAAATGTGATGGAAATTTTTCCAATTTTCACAAGTCGTCTTGTGAATAGCTAAGCATAGACTAAATATAATTTTGCCTTGTAATTTGCATGTTTTTGTATATATTTCACTTGTTTGCCTTATAAGCAGTAGGGACTGCATACTTTATTATTAATTAGACTAAGAAAATATAAATTATGGAGAGAAATTATAATTGAGACATTAAGCTTCACCTGATATGCCCTTTACTCAACAAAGATACCGGCTACATACACATCATCAGGGGATTTGTCATTATTTGATGCAATTTGTCATTATTCACCCCTGATATCATGCACATATTTTACCTAAGGTATATGAACATCAATAACTATTAAGCCACAGAGAAATTGTAATGCACTATCTAATTATTAAATGTAAATTTGAGTTATACTTGATTAATCGTAATTAAGTTAACAGTGAATTTTGAATTTCCCATTTTTATGGAGCCATAGATTTTGGTGACCACAAAACTCACTATGGTCACATCTACATGTACACACGCACATACATGCGCCCATGTACACTCACACATGTACACGCGTATGTTGTATGAGACTGTATTTAAGACGCACTGTGTGTGCGTGCGTGCGTGACGTGTGCGTGCGTGCGTGCGTGCGTGCGTGCGTGCGTGCTTGCGTGCGTGTGTATACAAAACATCATTCGAACAACACTTAGTATAATACCAAATCAATGTATTTTTCTTGTATGCTTCTCAGCACGTTTGCTCAAGAGAGCGATATGTGCTTTTATGTTTACTCGGGCATGGATGTCCAGAACACATTGTTACACAACTCTCTCCACGAACGTCATTACACCCTGCTGTACGACCCCCATGTGGAGCAGAACTAGAGTACCACATGCAGCGAGCAACCACCGCGATGACAGTGGGCGCAAGACGCTGTATCATTGCCCCTAATTAGGATGGCAACCCACGCGAGTTTGATTCGCAGACGTGGTAGGATTTACACACAGCTGCTTAGTGGGCTGCTTCTACGACTACACATACGCGCGCGTAAAACCCCGTAGGTTGTGTTTATTTTTGCCGACAGGTTTCCGTTTTCATGCCCGTTTGCAGGAGATTCGTGCGGGCTGTGCTGCTGAGCCCGAAAATCTGTAAATCATTTCCAAGGCTTAGGCCCCCATGCGAGAGCAACTATTCACATAAATCAGCGAACACTGACAGAACGCACACAACACCACTGAGACCTTACTGAACATGGACAGAACACACACACAGTACATTGCCAGGACTCACCGAACATAGACAGTGCATGCTGTCGCCTCAGCGCCTTCCCGGCATTCTGCTCTGCTTCGTTCATATGCGAGTCCTCCTCCCCTTCTTCCCCGTCCCCCGCCCGCTCCGTCTCCTCCTCTATAACAGGCGCCGGCACATCGCAGTTGATACTGGTGAAGCCCCATCGTCTGTTGAACTCTGACTGACCTCCGTCGACCCTCAGCGTTGAGGAGCTCTCCAGCCGGCTCGCCTGCGGGCCATAAATTCAGTTAATTATCGGAAAGGCATGCGTAATCATTGCACCAGCGACTTCAGCAAGCCGTGCATATCAGGGCTGGGATTTCGGCGAATTGGAGGTGGCAAAGAAATCCTGAGCGAAAAAGCACGCCTCTGCGGGAGGGTGAAACAGATATATGGCCGCGTGATGGTTAGGCAATGTAAACAAATGCGTGGGGGAGGAAATGCAGACTTCATCAACACGTGGATAAGCTCTGAGCGATAGCTCACCGGCGTAAAAACTCGGTAAAACAAGACTATCACATCTACAGTACGTGTACACACAAACTAAAATAACTGAAGAAAATATATATGGAAAACGTATATATGTTTCCGAAGCAAGTGTTTAATTTCATATGATTCTCTATGCTTGAGAAATACAGAGTCCTCATGCACGAACGCAGAAGACTCTTCTATATGCCTACTATGCAGTTACTATAGAATTATTCTTGTATTAATCACTCCTCCAAGTTTAGCTCATCTACGTGGGTGTGAATAAACTTTCCATGACCGTTTCTTAGAAACTGCAAAGCTCCGAAAAGCCTCACTAATAACAAAAAGCTTATAATGATCACTATAAGCTCTTTGCTAATAACTAGATTAATAAATAATGAAATATCAGAGCAAAGTTGGGATAATGTGTGCAACTCCATGTAATTAATTTTAACATTTACATGACGTAATACATGACCTTTCAGCATATTCTTATACAAAAATAGATAACTTAATAAACTTGCCGAACCATAAATGTTAAAAGGGGATTGCATATTAAACCTCGCATACCTTACAATGTTTACATTTTTAATTGAAACAGAAAGGGAGAGAGATAGAGCAAGGGGGAGAGAGACACACTGCGAGAGGGACCGAGAGAGGAGGAGGGGAGGGAGGGGGAGAACAGGGAAGAGAGAGTGAGAGGGAAAAAGACAGTAAGATGGAGAAATAGAAGAAAGTGAATGAGAGGGATAGAGAGCAAGAGAGGGATAGAGAGTCAGAGAAAAAAAAGAATATTCATTAACTAAAGAGCATGTTTCGTGTGCATTTTATTACTTCGTTCAAATGACAGGTATAAAGCACAGTACAGATTGTATGTACAGACCTATAATGACATTGTTTTCAAATAATCCCTAACACCCAGTCAAATAAAAACCACGTGCAAGCACTTCTAAAAACCAACATACCAATGTGGTTCTACTTCTAATTACATGGAGGGTGTATTGATGAATTTGTTTTAAACTTTAACGAGGTTAAGAGTCATACGGCATTCGCTCTGACCCCATTCCACATTTCCTCTGCTAAATATGTTTGGTCTCCTCTCTCGCTCTCTCTCTCTCTCTCCTCGCTCAACAATCTATTCACCACCAACCACCAAAGTTGATAGCAACCATAAAGTCATGTAAGCCAGGAATAATGGCCTTGGTCAATAAACTGTAAGATGGCAAATTGTAACCGTGTGCCAGTTCACTTGTGTGTGCTTGCAGAACTGTGACTGTAAAGGTGATGAGATGCCTGAATTTATGGGAAAACGCACACAAGATTGAAAAGCACTGTTCCACGTAGTCTATATACTACATGTGCATGACGCTACTGTAACTTGTAAAGACACGTTTTGGTTTTTAATGACGAAGTGAGGCATTAGTACTGATCCCATGGCAAAAAGTGGTGACGGATTAGTGGATTAGTGCTAATTGGAAGCATGTGATCGATGTTCAGGAGCGATGAAAGGTTTGCCGGGCATCAGGATAGCTTAGCGTTAAGCAGGCCCAGCCATTACTCACTCACCTGACTCTTCGATTATGATGTTTACACTAAAAACATGGCAAGCTGTACTCGGCACTTCTTTCGCCAGCGCTCTACTTTCAAAACTCAAAAACACACAAGTGGCTAAAAATAGTACCAGTTCGCAGTTGAAGCCAGCGAAGACGCGTTCCTCTACGAACAGGATGCAGAAACACCGCCTCCACTGCGGAGGTGCCTGACGATGATCGATGATGGATCTGTATCCCAGGTGCTTTGTACATCCAGGCGCATCTACACGCAGTGATATGAATGTGAAGTCCGTATCGTATACATAGGTCTACTACATCGAATGAAAACGATTCGCATACGGATCCCTTTACCCCATTTTTCGGCAAAACGAATGGTCACATCAGAAAATACTCATTAACACATATATAGCAGTTTGCAATACCTGAGAAATCCAAACAATGCTTTATCTCTGATTATTTGATTTTTCATTATTGATTAAGGTTCAAATTTATCAGCTGAAGATATTCAAACGTCTTGTGGGTAGGCCTACCTACTATTATACGAGACAGTCATTGTAATATAATAAACATTGTAGGCAAGCAGGCACATAAAACATTGTGATTCAATCAGACTAATATGTATATATATTATATATCTCTACCTTAGTAACGATCACGATAACTTCCATCTCAAATTACACCTTACGATAACCTTTCGTCTTCCAAACATCAGCAACGGACAATCCACTCATCTCTTTTCACTAACTTACACTGCCCTCTAAAGAACATGTATTGCGTTCTAAAATACCCATCTGCCACTACCGTTCTTCAGCAACAATATTTCATTACTATAAACATTTAACCAGTTCGATAATATAATAATAAGTTCAAAGCAACTGTAATCTGTCAGGAATTTACATAGTCGTCTAGCTATTCTTGCTTACCTGCAAGCTTTAGCCAACCCTCCACCTGCCGGTGGGTGCAATCTTTCCCCATGGGTTCCATCGTGCCACCTAGAACGTAAATGTGCTAGCATTAATGCCCATGCTCTGCTGAAGGCAGCACACGTCTACGAAAATAGTTCCAGCTGCTGCAATAATCTATTAATATCATTGTTTCTGTAGTACCCATTCAATCAACCACTGGAACGGTGGTGGGTAACACAGCTATTTACTCCTAATGGAAGTACTACAGCCGGCTCTTCACACCGTCACACCGCATAATGTAATATATGTTAAGATCATATACACTGATGATAGATCCTGAGACTGATAGACTGAGACAAATATGTACAAAATGAACAGTGATAATTTGAATGTAATTTGATTTCTCCAGCTCTGGAGTGTTCTGGGTCTCTAGATTCACCCAGCGATTACCGTTAGTACAAAATAACAAAATGACTGAGTGTGTCTTGAAACGAAATGTAAATTTTTATGCTGATAGCATTGTTCTAAACATTTGTGATTGGTATCATCCTGTAGGGGATAGCTGGTTCAATAGGTAAACGTTCTGCACATGGTCAGGCTCACTGCTGCAGTCATTTCGTGTGTGTGTATAAATTTCAAACATTCTGCTTCTCAATTCATGGTTATCTTGATGTTATAATACACCTTTTTTTTTTACTCGCAGAGCCCAATAGAGTTACAATGAAGACATAAAGCTGAGAAGGTGATTGACCTACAATATAAGTTGGCAGTTGTGAGATTATATACCAGTCAATGATGGCTAAAGCATTAACGACATTTTGCATCATTCATTACAAGGCTGGTAAACCTAAAAGGAAAAATATCCTCCCATGAATCATTCTAGAATTTGTCCTATTATAAAATCAATAAATCTACTGAATAGGAATATCCAGCATAAATTCTTTGAGAAATAAATTAAAACTTATGATATATACGCACACACGCCCGCCCGCCTGCACGCCTGCCTGCCAATAATGATGCATGATTGTTTTGGTGTCTTGAAGTTACTGTAGATACATCATGTGATTGTAAATGTATATATCAGTAATTAATGACTTGCAGCATGTGAGAGATAATTACTCTAATGAGACTTCACACTTCCACTGAACTAATTACCTTACTAGATGACTCATCGTATGCATCATTATTTAAATATGTATCTTCAGACAATACTAGTGTAGTACTACTAGGTAGGTTCAGTGGTAGGTAGGTACACTGTACTTGAAGCTAAAGCTCACCCACTCGCCTGAGGCTAGTAAAACTAGAACTATCACTGATTGATAGTGATTAATACCCCCGCAATACAGCTTTGTCGGAGGGAAAATGGAAGGTCACGGTGTGGCATATATTATGAGTAAAGAATACACGGAACACAAAAAATGGGAGTACTTATATGTAAGTATGAAACGAGGAATAACAAACGATAACTGTATAACTCGGAACGAGGATAGGCTGCATGCAAAGAGGACAGGTATAACAGTATTTTCATGTACGATGGGACTACACTCCTTAAGTTCGCGCCACAAACTTTTTTTGGCAGCAGGGGGTATAATCAAAGATGAGATATGATTTCCATGGCAACGCCTTGACCGACACACACACAAAATATGTCACGCACATCTACACTTCATGGTGATAAAGTGTATGAAGTTTGATTGGAATCCCTTGGAAACTGTGGAAGTAGTTCGCCCCTCAAACTTTTTGCAACAGACCGACCGACTGACCGACCGACCGCCCGCCCGCTCGCCGCCCGCCGACTCAAATTCACAGCTACTTTTTGTGCAGCTGCTCCCATCTGATTTAAGTATAAAATTTGTATTTGTGTGTGCAACCATCACAATATTGCAAAACATAACCTTATCACAAAGTCATGATGATAACCGATGGCAGACACCAGGTCCAGTAGACCAAATTACATGTCTGAGGATGCTAGTAATCTCGATGAAGAGCAGGATACAGACAATGTTCCTGCTAAGGAGTTGCAGCAACTGCAAGACAGCCTATTCAGACATCAAATTCTCAATCATGACCTTGAGCTCAGCATGACCGATTAGAAAAATAAGGACTGATTACATAGATACTCAATACTGGATAACTTCAAAATTATTGATTTCAAGTCACCATAAATAAAATGTATCCATCACCTACTTCCTACTATAATATAACTTATTTGAGTTGGGGATTGTTTATGGGATAAGTATGTTCTCAATTTTATCACTAAATTTCAGCAGCCTCCCTAATATGGATTTAAATTAAATCCTATTGCCAATATAGCAAACTTTGGAATCTCCTTCTGCAATCAGCTGACTGCTCACCATGGCAGTTGAGCACAACACTCCACCGAATTAAGAGCTGGTAAATATTGTTAACATAGCTGGTAGCTATTACAGATCACTAGCCCTATTGGCTAGTAAATTTTTTGGGTTAGTTTCAATCTCTATAGGTTGAAAACACAAGCATCGCATCAGCAAGGAAAGGGTGCAATCTTAGCCCGACAAGACACTACGACTGTTTCACATCGTCGGAGGTAAAAAGGTAACTTGCAGCTAGGTGCAATCCATACTCCTTGTCATATTCCTACTTACATTTACAATGCTCAATATTATTAATATTATTACAAAGGTCACGAACACTATACCAGGGTATCTTATACATAGGAGGCACAGTGGCGCACCACCGTTGTCAAATTTAACATCGCCGTTGTGAAAATGTTCGTGTATTTACTGATAAGTATATCCTGTATCTATATACCTATAAGTATATCAATACATCCTGTATTTGAATCCATCATTCGCGTTTTTTCCCCAAACTGGCCATTACCTCCTTTGTCTAATTTTCCCTCAGAAGAAACCCTGTATACATTACTCTTTTCCTCTGATACAGCATGAAAGCAACATTATACACCAATCTAATACTCCTAGTTAATACATAAACGGTTAAACTTCCAAGTACAGATCGAGACGCTCGTTTTTAATATTAACTAGATGCTGAATTGAACGCACATGGTACTTAATCCTACAGTAGTAAAACCCATAATGAAGTGAGTGACAGGCTGGGCGGTTCAAAGATAGAGATGATATCCAGGACGGTGATAGGATAGGATAATGTTTATTACTGGACATGCTCTCTATCCTTGAGCCGGCTGGGCCGAACAAAAAGCTATGCACCTGTATGAACTATAGCTAATGACACTTTTAATTGCTGATAACAGTGATGTCAATTCACAATTGTAACGTGGTTGACAGGTGGAGACTGGAGTAACTAATTAGTAATTATACATCTAAACGAAATATAACGCTGTCATGATTAGGTAAGCAGACACGTTGACACACTTTTACTACGTGAGGAAAGGCACACTGATTCAGAACTATCATACTTGGTGTGTCCTGCAGTGCAGTAGTGTGGGCAAAGGTCTACCACTGGCACTGGCACTATGGTCGTATTGCCTATTGCCGTATTGGTACCCGCATATAGTCTTGTCTACGCGATTGTCTAGGGTCTTCTAACCCTAGCAAGACCGTTTTCTTGGAGCTACACGCATACAAACGCTCAAGGGGTCGTTGTCGTATCACTATCAGGTACTAGGATATGTACCCGAGGTACATATATTAATTATTATGTATACACAAAGTGTACCAGACTTGTACTACAGAAGTGTACCCTAACCCTAACTCTAAAAATACCTCATATAAAAATATAAACATAATACTATTACTAAAGCTGAGAGGGTCTATGTCCCCCGGGGTACTGCCGGAACGTACCCTGGGTACGGTCCGGTATACCGGAACGTACCCTGGTACTATCTAATATGCCGAACCGTACCTCGCCTACTCCACTAACGAGTCTAGGGAGTCGCCTATGCCTACTCCCTAACCCGAACCCTAACCCTAGCTCTAGTACTATAGCCCGC